GGGTCGTTATGAGTCAGATCTGACTCAACAGCATTGAGTTTGTTTTTTAGGTTTAGTTTACATGTATCAGTACACCTACAAGACTAATAGTGTATGTGAATTTACTTTTTGAACCTTGTATTGCACTACACTCAGAGCTGTCATTATTAGCCAATTACTCAGTTTGGAATCAATGTGGTTTCGTCTGCACACGCTGTTGTACTTTAAAGGTGTAACTTTAATTTTGCTGGTTGTTTATGTCATTATTATTTCCATTACATGTAGTGATATTGGGAATTATGATTTACAAGTAACATTAGTACAAAAAACTTTACTAAGGATTCTGTATAATCTGGTATAGGAGGAGGCCCATGAAAGGGATGACACTATTAAGTCACCACACTGGGTGACACCAACCCTAGCAACACCACTCACCTTGAGTATATATTCATAAGTCCATGAAACATGCATTTTATGAAGGTTTATGTCTGTGTGAGGACACACGTGACAGGGTGGAAGTTTCCTCTTACTCATTGGCAGTAGTCAGTGACTGGAGGTCACAAAACAATTTGCAGCCTAGTTGGTATCTTCAAGGTTTTGGAATTTCAGAATTGTACTTCCAAGCTGTTATATGGGTCCCTATGAATTTAAATCGGCTCGACACATCTAACAGCATCTTCCAAGGTCTGTAGATAAATTGCCTTTGGTCTTGGTAACTTTTCTACAGCTTTTAACTATGTTAAAAATCAAAACAAAAGGGACAAATCAGAAAAGTTAGTACATTGGAATTACTATTAATTAACGTTAGTTACAATTAATTACTATCTCTGATTATATTGTCATATAGAAGAGGGCTTGAAGAAAAATGATTTACAACTACTTTGGAAATATTTATAAAGCCAAACTATCTGTTCTTTATCTTCCACCACTGCAGCCCATACTTTGAGGCCTCTGAAAACAGAGGATATTATTTACTTCATTAAACGAGCTAAAGATGAATCCCCACCTCCACCCCATCCCTGGCCATTTATTCTAAGACTATTGTGTGTGGAGCTGATTCTGACTCATAGCCACCCTACAGGACAGATTAGAACTGCCTCCACAGTGTTTCGTAGGCTTTAATCTTTATAGGAGCATATCCAATCCAATGGCCAGGTTTTACCCCTTCAGGACTACTGATGGGATCAAACTGCTAACCTTTCAGTTAGCAAAGGAGCTGCTTAAACTTTGAGCCCCCCAGGATACCTCGTAAGGAATATGTGCTTAACCTAGAGTTAAGCAGCCCTCTGCTTTTGGCCATCAGACCAGTTGGAGCAAACATCTGCTCACTATTTCATGCTATACAACAGAGATAGACTTTAGTTTTAGGAATGGTAGTCTTAGGCAGACAATCTTGACAGTCGCAGTTTCAATGTTAAATCCCATAGCTGTACTGTTGATTTTTCCACTCTTTAATATGGTCTATTAAAGTAATTCAATAGTTAATAATACTATGATTGCAGTGAATTGTGTGAGTTAGAGGAAGTTTCCTCATACTTACAAGTTATTTATGCCTTGAAATCACTGAGCTGTCAAGAAAAAAATGAGCATTATATATTTTCTCTGAAAATATTTACCTGTTTTATTTTGTTTTGTTTTCTAAATGGCTAACATTTCCTAAGTGATGATTAGGGGAAATAATGTCTTGCATTTTTGTTTCAGAAGAAGTTAGCTGAAATGTTAGTTTTTTGAGAGGAAATACACAGAAAGTTGGCAGGGCTTGCAGTTGACATTCAGTATTATGTACCAGCCATGAGATTGTGAAGACATAGAAATCTCTTATCGTTAATGTCCTCATCAGTAAACTAGAAATAATGCCTCCCTTATTTGCTTCATGGGAGCTCTGGTAGCGTAGTGCCTAAGGCACTTGACTGCTAACCAGAAGGCTGGCAGTTCAAACCCACCAGCCACTCCTTGGAAGGAAGATGGGGCAATCTACTTCCGCAGTGATACTGCCTTGGAAACCCAAGGAGGGGTTGCTATGAGTCGGGTCCGATTCGACAGCACATAATAACAACATTTGTTTCACAATGTGAGGTTGAGAAAATTTAAAAGAAGTAGTTTGTAAACTATAAAATACAAAATGGTTGCTCATACTTTAAAAATTCAGTTTTTTAAACTGCCGAAGGAGTTTCGGTGGTGCAGTGGTTAAAGCACTTGTCTGCTAACTGAAAGCTCAATGGTTTGATGACTCCGTGGGAGGAAGATGTGACAGTTTGCTCCCACAAGGATTTATGGCCTTGGAAACCCTATGGGGCAGTTCTACTCTGTCCTTACAGGGTCACTATGAGTCAGACTCAAGGAGCTCTGGTGACACAGTGTGTAAGGCACTTGGCTACTAACCGGAAGGTCAGGGGTTCAAATGCACCAGGTGCTCCGCTGGAGGAAGATGAGGCAATCTACTTCTGTAAAGATTTACAACCTTGGAAATCCTATGGGTGTTGCTAGAGATCAGTCAACTCAATAGCAGTGGGTTTGCTTCTGGTTTGGGTGAATCAGAATCAACTTGATGGCAATGAGTTTGGTTTGTGGTTTGTGATTTGGTTACCAAATCATTTACCCAATTTTGGACAAATAATGTCCCTTCTACATTTGTTTGCCACATTCCTTCCAGTCAGGAGGTATTTTCGTAAGTGTCGCTATGCCAGTTTTTTTGACATATTGTTGTACTTTGGTTTGAGCAACTTAGTTGCAAGCACCTTCCTCCTCTTTTAATACTACTCAAAAAAGTATTAAAATGACTTTATGTATATTTTTATACACTCCATTTAACACTCATATTGACTTATACCAGCTAAATTTACGAATGTAGAGACACATATTCATAATCCAGGATAAAATTCACTCCCTTTTGCTATTTATCTTTTAATAAGAAATTGTGAATATATGGCATTTTGATTAAATAAGGCATTTTGATAGACTGTATTTTTTTGCACATAATGCATGCACAATGCCAGAATTATTTTACTTAATTTCATAATTTCCACACATTATATATGTGAGCATATTATTGGCAAAAAATACAGGATATCATTTTGCTTCTTCAGATGATCTGTTTCCAATGGCTAGACTTCATTTCTGTAGCTCAACCCATTGTAACAAGTCTTAGATGTTGACAAAATGATTTTAAACATCACAAAGCCTCTGGAGAAATCTCAACCAAAGATGGTGAAATTTCCACATTTCCCTAAATTGCTGCTTATTGTTTTTAACTAGGAGCTAAGTCTCCCAGTCTTATTTATGCCATAAGAATGGCTATTTTATTTAACACTTTTTATTAAGCAATTTCCAGTCAGAATAATGATATTAAAAACACCATTTCACATGTGTAAGATTTTTATTCCCATTTGATATAAAGTCCAAAAGAAAGTATAAAATTTATTTACTTCTTTATAAAAAAAAAAGTGACTCAAAATTTTAAATGCGAGTTATAAAATATGATGATTTGCTGATCAAAACTGACTAGTTGCTTGGAGCAACATATTTTTAAATCACTATTTTCCTCTTCCACACCAAGGTTAACCTTCTAATTAGTGGTCATTTGTGCTATTACAATAGGAGGATAGCAGCTGAGACTTGAGTGAACAGAAAAATTGTAGAGAGAAATCAGCCCACACAAGGACCATCACCTTTCTATGCCTTCTCATAGTGGCGAACAGCAACCACATCACCAAAAGTAAGAGTCTGAAAAATTTAAAAGGAAATACAATATTTTTACACAAGAATATCAGTAGCTGAATTTTAAAGACTACCATATTTATGATTTAAGAATTATGCAAAACTAATGAAATTTACAATGCCAAAGTTGCAAAACTGTTTCTTTAAAAAGAGAAGAAAGTCATACTTATTGAGGGTACACGTTACTTATATACACATGTAGACAAAGTTCGTATCTGAAGCAAAATTTGAGATTAGCAATCTAGATTCATACTAAAATAATTCCTTTTGCCTTAAATTATGAAAGTAGTAGGGGCAAATTGAGTGTGAGGAGTGGCATGTCTAAATCATTTTCTCACCTATGTGCTTTGAAAAAAAAAATATGAAACATAACAATTTCAATTCATATTCTAGGCACTTGTTAAAAAAAAATCTCTCAAAAATCCAAATCACTTGGGCAAATGGTATATGGAGTGGCCTGTTCTAAAATCAATAGGTAAAGGTAAATGTAAAAATATTTTCATTGCTTTGGCTGCCATGTTTTAACCTATGTGAACGTAGGTGCTTTAGTTGGTATAATGTAAAACATGGGTTCTATTATTTTGATGTCATAGGCAACATGAAGAAAGGCTATAAAACGACTTTACAAAATATAGTTTTTTTTTTTTTAAGGGCTTAATGTTTTCATGTATTGATGCTGTTTTCAAGAATATAATATGCCCATTGTTTTAATTTCCTTGTTTGAACTTGATTTTGCCTGATTATAGTCATACATGCCAAAATTAAACTATTTGCATTTCTATATTCACAAAAAAATTGAGACAGAAGCATAGAAACAGGTTGACTCTTTCAAAAATGAATCTTTTCTTTTAATAATCATTGTATGAAAATATGGGCAAATATCTCTTAACATGAAAGGATAACTGTTCCTCTGCTCCCATCCCCACTTCCAAACATGAAAACAAGTATAAATATGTAAGTCTTGTACCTCAAGGTAGAAGAGCTCTGACTGCAGTAGTCAAGGGGAGAAGGAAGCAGTCCATTTTCCTAAATAACAAAACTAAAAATCCTTTCTGGTATTATCTTGGGAAGGATGTGTAAAGCAATCCTAAAAAATGAATGCATCTGCTTCAATATGTCAATGTCATCAAAATGCCATTACCTGGTTCACAGAAAACGTCTCTGGGAGAGGCTAGAT